TGATTTTTCTTTCAAATGTCAAATCATTACAGTGTCTTGAAGAATTACAATGTCCTGAAAATCCTGAAGATTCAAACTTGGAGAAAATTCTTTTTTTTTTTTTTGTTCACGCACGACAAGAAAATTATGTACCCTAAAAAGAGTGAACAGTTCTACTTCACTAAAACTATATGTCCGATTAATTTACGCGAAGTGGAAGCAAAACAGCACCGCGAACGGAAGTAATCCTGGAATTCCTCGGTTAGCGCACAATTACGCCATTCGGATTTCCTTCACTTTTCTCAGCCAGTCCTGGCTCGCTTTAATAGTGATCTGGATGGTATCCAAGACCACTCGAACAACTGGTGGGGTATCTAGCATTAATTATAAAGACGCTGTCTTTAAAAAGCTGAACTCACCGCTATCAAGTAGTGCTCGTTCGGACGCTTGTTCTCCTTCTCTTCCAAAACATCGTATACATATCAGGACAATTAAAAAGGATATATAACTAGCTAATCGACTCATATACCTGGAAATCCTTCTTCGACATCACAGAATAAGTAGATTTTCTACTAGTCAAAAAAAACCATCTATTTGTTCTAATTCAACTCTCGAAAGAGGAAGCTATTACAGCCTTGCTGCGCTTGGTATGTGCTATCAGCTGAGTAACTTCAGATCGCTCCTCCTTACAGAAAATGAAAAGGAAGTCCTACAAACTAACCATACACTTGGAAAATAGGAAGCTGTACTAGTGATTTTCACTCTTACTCGGAAGCAAAGCTCTGTATATGTTTACAGCTGAGGGATGAAACACAGACTGCTCCTTCAAATGCTCATTCTATACATGGCTTGTAATTCCTGAGCCTGCCTTCTAAGATTCCGTATTTTTATTCAACTCATACTGCAATAGAAGTCAAAATACAGATCACCGCGCCCACGTTTGTGTGTTTGTTCGGGTTTTTGCCAAATATGACTACAGCAAGCTTATCAGTAGTTAGAAAAGGTAAAAAGCTGAAATATTAAGACGATGTTTCCAGCCCATGTTTGATCTCGCAGGTTAAAAAAATTTGACCTTCACGATCATACGTCTCGTATATGACACGTGAAAATTTTGTGACGATTTACTAACTCGCGAACAGAAAAATTTAGTAACTGAAATTTGCGATATTTCTTGTTCATGTTTGACTTAGAATACTTAGATCTAGTTTCAATGTGCGCTTAAGTCTCACGTGTGAGGCGTGAAATTTTCAGCTAGAGATTTTTAGCTTTTAAACCAAACATTAATCCGGCAATTTTTACATACATCATTAGCAGCAATTTTCTGGTAAAACTGCGCAAAACGCAAAATTGTACCAGTCATTCCAGTACGTGCCACCGTTTTTATTTGTGAGTTGTGTTTGAAAATTTTGCGCATATGCTAGCAGTAGGAGCATATTTTTGGGCTTAAAGACAAAACAGCTTCTTGGAGAACTCTAAAAATATGGCTGAAGCAAGACTTAATTAAGACGGACGTGTCGTTCGTCTTAATTTATTTTTCAAAGGATGCAATGCCGAAAATCTCAATTCGGACCTTGCGAGGGGATATTTAAATGTTTTAATGTATTTTCCAGCGCTAAAGGCATGAATCGTTGCAAGAAATGGATAAAACACAATGTGTCGAAGATGACGGCTGAAATCCTGGCACGCCGATTTGCCGTAACTCATCCACATCCCGTGCCACTGCCCCTCCATTGCTGTTTGTACACCAATTGATGCAAGGAACTAAAATGATTTTCAGTGTATTATGTGCGGTGAAGCAAACAAATGGAATGAGGTCACTATAAAAATATAACTTTCAATCCTGAAATGTCGGGAAAGACGTGGGCTTTTGTAGCTAAAAGCAAAAGATTGTTCTGTAAATAAAAATGTGTCTAATAATACCAATGCTAAGAAATCGGGCGGTTAAACGGTAGCCAGTGTTTTGCTTAAACCGAGTTATGCAGAAACAGCTGTACTGCTTTGTCTGTATTGGGTCAGCTGAGTTTTTTTGTATACTGGGTACTTATTATCTCACAATTCGTTTTTCTATTCATTATTAACTGTGCGCAAAGGGCTCAGGAGTTGCCACAGGAAATAAAATGTAGCAGATTAGCAAAATATAAAAGAGCTCAGAAGTAGCCCGATTATGGCAAGTGTACCAGCATCGATGACATGGTTACTAGTACATATGTGTCTTGCTTGGCGACTGAATAAAATGTGAAATGTAATACGGGCCATCGTTGTTTCGTTCTTCCAAGGATTGTTTTAAAAACGAAAAATCAAGGTGAGAGATATTTTGATTTCTTAGCGGGTTAGGTATGGTCAGACAAATTCGTTATCAAACGAATCAGAAACTGCAGAAGATCCCGTATTTGCCTATTCGAAATTCAAAATAATTACTCATCCTTAAAATAAGTGGAGTTTGCAGCCGTATCAAATCGCTAGAATGGTTTGCAAACATTTAACTTTGGCCAAACGCGATCCTTAACTTTTTTGCAAAAGATTTTTAACTGCGCCATTCCTGAAAGACTGTCGAAGCCCATGGTGTACTGGCTAATTTCTAGATTTTAGAATTGGAATTTAGTCAGCACATCATTACCCATGCGCAATTTCAAAAAAAATGTGGTCCCGTCTTGCAAGTTATAGGCAGTGTTACTTTATAAGGATCAATTTAGTGCCAGTAACAAAGAAAACTTGAAACCGATTTCATATGTGCCTGCAAAGCAAGTGTTATACGTGGGAAGCGAAGCTCGTCATCGGCCAGTGTTGCGCCTTCTTTATATGAGAGCAGCGTGTCGATTTCATTCATATTCCAGCACTGTTCTACAATTCTCAGTGCAAATTCTGCGACATTTCGGCGCAATTCACCATATGCAACCTGCGACAAAAGCAGCGGGTTTATGGTCCAAAAATGAGTTGTTGCAAATGTACTGCTGAATCAAACAGTGCATGCTCTTAAGTCGATGCTTTTTGTTGAATGTACTTACAACTTAATGGACCGAAACAATACTTTTCTTTTCTTTATTTTTTTTATTTTCAGAAAAAAGACAATATTTTATTTTCAGGAAAAAAAGTAAAAAACAAAAAACCTTTTCTATTCTTTACTTTTCAGATATCAATTATCATTTATCTATTTTACTGTGCTTCTAAATGTGAGTTGCTATAAATATACGATCGAATCGCTTCAAATTAGTAAATGCTTTAAGGTCGGTGCGCCTTAAATGCATTCAGTTTCTAAGTCTAACTTTGTGTTCCTTTTCCATTTCTTCGCACACCTCCAAATCCACAGCCAGGTTTAAAGCGGCCAGTAGCGGGTCGCTGCACGCAAGCCATAAGAATGGCGCACTACTGATTGCCCTATAGGTATCCAAAAGGATAACACTGTTCGTCAGGCATCGTGCAGATCGTCCACACAAGTCACATGCACCTGGAATCCTTGCGCAAAACTTTAAAATGTAGTGAATACATGTTGTACTTTTACAGATCTTTTCAAATTAAAAAATTACATTTTTTGCTAGCCTAAGGGCCGAGTTCTGACAAGATTGTGCCACATAAAATATGGTTATTTTGATTAGAAATGGCGTAAAAAACAACTGCGTCACTATGATGCAATATCCCAGTCCGTGGCTCAAACTTTAGGCATCCTATCCTCGTTAAAGTTTTGCAATCTTAGCGATTTCTTAATAAACTGGCAACAAACTGAAGGAATTACAGTCCGGCCGATGTGGCAGTGGTATCGTGTGTTTGCGAAGTAGCAAGCATTCCACTATGGCGAAATTGTTGCATATGCAGGCAAGCATCAGTGGCGTCATGTGTGGTGGAAACGATTCTGAATTTTTGCATCCTGAAATTCTCCGATCATCCGAAGAACCCATTTCTAATCATTCTAAAAAGCTGTGTAGGAAAAATTCGGTGCAGTACTTAGAACAGTTTTTTGGTATTCTGTCATGCCTTTGCAGTTAAGCGATAAAACACAGACTGTTTTTTCGCATGTTTATTCAATATGCGATTTCTAACTCTTATGTTTGCTTTCAAATATTCGCTAAAGCACGATTTGGCTAGCGTGGTCGAAGTCCAAGGGCCTGAGTAGCCTGTCGATGACCTAGGCTTCTTTTTGCTCCTATTTTGTTTAGTCTTCCCAGAAAGGCTAGAACTTCCACCGGATCCAGGTTCATTCTCACCTTCTGCAGTCACCTCATACTCCGCTACAACACGATCATCAACTGGTCGAAAGTAGATTGCTGCTAGGGATGAAACAGACAGATTCTCCCTTATATGATTCCTTTTTGATTGATTCTACAATATGACATACGATTTCATGCCATATGTTCTTTGCCCTATAATCCTGTTGTCTTGTTATCTCCTTCTTCAATTTTTAACCGTTATTTTTAACCACAATTTTTACTCCGACTCCGGGTCAATAGGATTTCAGTCCTAGGTCACGGCCAAGCTGCTCTGGGCCATGCCGTCGCATTTTAGTAGTTTCCGGTCCGACCCGTTTTCACGCTGCACTACAGCAAACCGGGTACGTAGCAATTCGACCAAATTTATAGAAGCCACTTAGTGGCAATTTAAAGGCTACTAAAGTTTCAAATGCATCTAAGTATAACAATTGTATATGAATAGAGCCTACAGGTTGTTGATCATAATTTTTCAAAAAAGTGAAAACAAAATGGAAATGAGGGCTAGGATCAAGCATGCTCTGATCAGGACTGTGAACTGATGCAGCTTCGGTGCTTTATGGTATACATATTCAGAAAAGCGACCACTTAAATGCTCGTAGCTACTTCAACATGATGAAGGTGGTTGGCAAGGACTGAGAGTACGTAAAACTCAGAATACACAGGTCTAGCATAACTACAGCATTCCATTGATTTATTGGAAAGAAACTGTTGCTGACCACTGCGCTCTTCTCCCGGGAACTCATAAAAAAGCGATAAAATGAATTCAACAAGTGGTCGGCTTCCAATACAAATTGCTGTTAGTAGCGCTTCCTTGGTTGGTTCCACTGATTTTCGATTAAACAACAGAGCTAGTAGGCGTCGAATGTGACCCTGGAATTGGTGACATACACTGAAACGCTATAGCGCAACTAATAACCTTCCAGTTCCATGAATTTTTGCTAGTTAAGCAAGAAGAAGCCAGTACATGAGTAATTTTTCATCGGAGCAACATAAAATTACTATTAAACTTCGATATTCTTGCATCCAGCACTTATCGAAAAAGATCTAGTTTTCGGTCTACCGCACACAAAATCTAGGTGACACCGTACCGAGGCCAGTGCGATAATGAGTTTTTTACCTTATCTACCGCTGAACTTTTGTTGCTAATATGAACAGTTATAAGAATGGTGCTTGTTGCTAAACAAGTAGATACATGATCAGACCTAAAAATTTGATTTTTCTTCTTAATTTTCACGATTGCCATATAAAAGTCGAAGGAAAGATGAGCACTCTAGCTGCTCTGGAAACGTGATTTATGAGGAAGAAGTAACTGCTCTTCCTGCGTTTGCTTGACACAGTCCTGGGCTAGTTTGAATGTGGCCGACACCGCCCGAGCGCAGTGTCGGCAACATTCAAACTATAACTCTCACTTGTTTTTTAAGCAATCTGCCTCTTGCATTGGTATGATGCCAAAAAATTTGTATTTCGATTTTTTTGTATGCCGGACTCTTGTGTTGTAAGACTTATGAATGCCTGAAGGCTGCATTTAAAGTCTTTTGGACACGTATGAGCAAGGAACATCTTCACAAAGTTTCAGCCTTCTGGCTCGCTTTGTTCGCAAAATCATTTTCCCGCTATAGAATCTTTTACTTGTCCATACAAGAGAACCAGGATTTTGTCGCACACAATTTTGCAATTTCGGAAATAAAGCAATAAGAGAGCTGGAGTTTTCTGAGTATGGCGGACTGTAGTGTTTGAGCAGGGACATGAAAACAACTTTCATGTTTTTTTTTATGTTTTACATAAGTCTCACGTACGAACACGTCGAATTTCAAGTAACTCCGCAACCAAAGCAGCTAAAGCGCTAAAATTTTCTAAGCGCGATCCACGAAGGTTTTTATTGAAATTCTTTGTGATAATTCGTAATGATTTGGTCACCATTCCCAATTCGTTTAGAAACAAGTGCCTTCAGCAAAATTAGAAACAAGAATTTTTGCTCAAAATAAAGCAAATAAATGACAACGCACACCAGACTAGCCGGTGCGATCATGCGTTTTGTGCAATTCAGCCCATCGAACGATTGCC